AAAAGTAACTAAACCATTTGAAAGCCACTATTTGTGGATTCTCTGAAAGTTTCCATGGAGTGTGTGACAACTTATTTTTTCATTGATCCTATCGTCTAATCTCACAGCTGAAACAAGCATCCTTAATAATCTGTGCACAGGAAGCGTACCGATGCTGTAGTAAAACAAAAGGTATAATAATTTATTATTAATAAAACCTTGTTGCAGCACTAAAGCAGAAAAATGAGATTTTGCAATAAATATGCTAAATATTTACATATGAATTGTTTTAGAGCCCTTTCATTGGCAGAATCTGATCTTAATTTAGTTCTTACCAAAAAATGGGTCCCAACGTGGTTTGTGTGGCGTTGTGACGTCATAGGCAAAGATCCCTTGTCCTCTTGTTTGGAAATGGAAATATGGTCACCCTACATTAAACAAACTGTCCACCCGGGCTTTTGCGCTGCACAGAGACGCTTCGCTGCCAATGACTTTGAACGTCAGTTGAGAGTCAGTCTCATGCAGACTGACCAGTGAAGAGAGGGCCTCAAGTTAAGACCCTCTCCTCATTGGTCAGTGCACACGAGGTGGGTCAAAGGTTACCCTGAGCGGGATACGTGATGTCAGGCATTCAAGTATTGAGTATATTTACTGCATATTACAGTAAAATATTCTGTATGTGACCACATTATGGTGATCCTCGGGTCGTAATAATGGGGCCCTTGAATATTGTTGCCCAGGGTACAACAAAGTGTTAATCTGGCCCTGACCATAATCCAGGAACTATTTCACTGTAGCAACAAGGCTTAGTCCAGGTAGATGGGCTGGTGATGTTTTTTATGTCTGAGGAATAACAAAGAAGCTTGTGACCTCAGTTCGTCCAAGATGTTATACTGGAACAACAAGAATCAACATAATGGACAATACTTAGCTGATGTATCACAGAGCCTATTTGGGAGTCAGAGCCTGATCAGAACCAGCTCTGTCTCTGCTTGGATAAATAAAGCAGTGGGAAAGATCCTCTCAGTCTGTCTGGAGAATATAGAAAAAACAAAACACATGGATATCTAGTCTACTTTTAAAGTTTTTTTACATGTCCGATTGATCGGGTAATAAGTCCAAAGTCAGAGAAGAAATCAGGTTTTTAAGTGTTTTACAGATTTATTAAACAAGCTGAAATAAAAGGTTACGATTTAATATTGGAGGAGGAGTAATATGGCTGAATGACCACGCTGAATGATGGTGGTAGGCTCCAGTTCTTTGTCAGAGGAAAACTGTCGGGAGAGAGCGTCTGGTTTGGTGTTCTTGGCTCCAGGTCTGTAGGAAATAATAAAGTTAAAACGGGAAAAGAACAATGACCAACGATACTGTCTGGGGTTGAGTCTTATTGAATCCTTGAGGTAAGCCAAGTTTTTATGGTCAGTCCAGGTCACCACTGGAAGCTCCGTCCCCTCGAGACTATGCCTCCACTCCTCATCATTTGGGGCTACCTGGGAAAGTACGGCTCCCACTCCAGAGTCAGAGGCATCGACCTCCACGGTAAACTGCCTGGAGGGGTCCGGTCGAATCAACACAGGGGCATGGGTGAACTTGAGCGGGGAAAAGGCGTCCTGGGCCTGGGTGGTCCAAACAAAGGGTCTAGAAACAGGTTAGGTTGGTCAATGGGGCAGCGACCTGGCTGTAGTTCCAGAGGAAGCGGCGGTGAAAATTTGCGAAGCCCAGGAAGCGCTGGAGTTGTTTTCTGGTGGTTGGTGTTGGCCAGTCCAGAATCGCCTGGGTCTTCTCTAGGTCTGCCCTCAACCGCCTGCTCTCCAAGATGAAGCCCAAAAACCTGACAGACGGCACATGAAACTCGCACTTCTCAGCCTTTACGAACAGTCTGTTCTGCAGGAGGAGCTGTAAAAAAAACCTAACATGCTCCTCGTGTTTGGTTGGATCCTTAGAGAAGATTAAAATGTCGTTGAGGTACACAGAAACAAAACAATTTATAAAATCACCCTACACCGAGTTAATGAGAGCCTAGAAAACTGCAGGAGTGTTGGTAAGACCAAACAGCATTACCAGGTACTCGTAGTGTCCAAGAGGGTTCTTGAATGTGGTCTTCCACTCGTCCCCCTGCTTGATCCTGACCAGGTGGTATGCGCTCCGGACATCCAGCTTAGTGAAGACAGTGGCATCCTGTATGGGCTCGAAAGTAGAGGAGAGGCAGCGCATATTTATTCTTTACCGTTAGGAGAATCAGCCCTAGGTAGTCGATACAGGGTTGCAGTGTACCATCCTTCTTGGGGACAAAGAAGAACCCTGCCCCCAAGGGAGAGGCTGAGGTATGAATGATTCCAGCGGCCAAACTCTCAGTTATGTAACTCTCCATACACTCCCTCTCCAGTCTGGAGAGGCTGTAACGGCGGCTGGATGGAAGAGGGGCTCCCGGGAGCAGGTCAATACTACAGTCAAAAGGTCTGTGAGGCGGAAGGGTGACTGCGTGGTCCCTACTGAACACCCTACTAAGGTCATGATAGCATTCGGGTACACCTGAGAGGTCGGGGGAACAGAGGGAATGCAACGGGCCATGGTCAAGACGGAGAGAGTGGATCTGAGGCACGACTCTGAACATCTGGGACTCCAAGACTCTATGCAATTAGACTGCCAGTTGAGTTCTTCGGTGTGGTTGCCAGAAAGTCTAAGGATGAGAGGGGCTGTGTGGTGAGTAATGGTGGTGAGAGAGTTACCATCTAACGAGGATACAGTGAGTGGTGTGGAAAGAGGCACGATGGGGAGTTCAAGCTGTTTGACCAGTTCTGTATCCATAAGGGTCTGCTCACAGCCCGAATCTACCAAGGCGTGACAGTCTAGCGTGTGTTGGCTGGAAACTAAAGTGCAGGGAATGGTGCAACGAGAGGTTTTATGATTAGTTATGCTGCCCATCACAACTCTCATATCTAATGATGGGCTCTGGCTTTTAACGAAGGACACCTTGCTACAAAATGACCCGAAAGACCACAATATAAACAGAGGCCTGACCTGCGGCGTAGCTGTTTCTCCTCAGGGTCCAAATGAGCCCGGTCCAACTCCTTTGGTTCCTCCACCGGGCCCTGGGTTTTTGGCTGTGGCGCAGTGGGGGGCTGTGGAGAGTGATAAGCTGGGTGACGGAGCGTACCTGCATGTCTCTCCCGGTGTCTCTTATCAATCCGAATAGCCAAGTTGATCAGGTCATTGAGTGAGGTGGGTTCCGGACAAAGCACCAACTGGTCCTTAATTGTCACTGATAAGGCTTGGCGAAAGCCCCTTTTAATGCCTCCTCATTCCAGTTGGATGAAGCCGCGATAGTCCTGAAATCGATGGCGAAGTCTGCTACCGACTTCCTTCCCCTGGAGAGGTGAAGAAGTCTTCGTGCCACGTCCGCGGGAGACTCCTGGCACCCAAAGGTAAGCCTAAAATCCTTCACAAACTCAGAAAAAGGTCCACTTAAAAAAGTTTCATCATGGCTTCTAGCCTCTGCCCACCGGAGAGGGCTTCCTCGAAGCAGACGGATAACATAAGAGATCCGGCCTGCTTCAGATTTAAAGGATTCTGGTGAGCGCTCAAACGACAGTTTACACTGCAGCAAAAACTCTGACACTCAGAGGACTCACCCTTGAAGGTAACAGGAGGTGGAGAGGCGGCAATCCGGAAGTGTTGGGAAGCCGGTGGTTCCGGGGCTGGCGGAAGTCTGGAGGAGGTACCAAAGCAAATTAAGATGAGGATGTCTCACTTTGATCGTTGTTGCTGGTTTCATCATCACCCAGTTACCCATCACATTTAGTGAAGTGGATCCAAGCTTTAGCGTGCGTTCTTTCTACCATGCTGCTCTGTTTACAACTCTCTCGCAGCCACCGACAACATAACGCTCTTGCGCATGCGCAGCTGTCTTGGCAAGTTCTCGTTATGAAGGACGGGTACCGAAACGAGGCACCGTTTCAAATGACGTGAATCGGTGCTCAGTCGGTACTATGGAATTCGGTCGGTACCTTAAAAAGTACCGAATTCGGTACCCATCGCTATCCTTTTCCTTTTCCTTCTGCTCTTCCTTTTTCCCTTTTCTTCTTCACTTTCTTTTCCTTCTTCTTTACCATCTTCTTCTTCTTCTCATTTTCCTTCTTCTTCTCCTCATTTTCCTTCTTTTTCTTCTTCTTCTTTGTCCTCTTCCTTTTTCTTCTTGTTCTTTGTTTTCCTTCCTTTTTCATCTTCTTCTTTATCTCTTCTATTGAATTCTTCTTCCCTTTGTTCCTTCTTCTTCTTCTTCCATTTCCTTCTTCTGCTCTTCCTTTTCCCTTTTCTTCTTCCCTTATTCACTTTCTTTTCCTTCTTCTTTACCTTCTTCTTCTTCTCCTCATTTTCCTTCTTCTTCTTCTTCTTTCTTCTTATTCTTTGTCTTTTTGCCTTTTTCCTTTTCTTCTTCTTTTTTCATCTTCTTTATCTCTTCTATTGAATTCTTCTTCTTCCCTTCTTTTCTTTTTCCTTCTGCTCTTCCTTTTCCCTTTTCTTCTTCACTTTCTTTTCCTTCTTCTTCCCTTCTCCTCGTTTTCCCTCTTCTTCTGCCCTTCTCCTCGTTTTTCTTCGTCTTCTCCTCCTCCTTCTTCTTCTCCTTCTTCTTCTCTTCCTTTTTTCATCTTCTCCTGCCTTTTCATTTTCCTTCCTCCTCTTCTTCTATCGAGCATATACCATCTTTTAATTAGAAAAAAAATGAAATAATAAAATATAAATGATATAATATGCTTAAAACAACATGATTTTTTTCCCATTATGTGTTTTTTCATGTCAGTTCTACTTAAAGGCAAAAGCTTGTCCCAGCATGTGTTTGTTCAACGTGCCAAACATAACATATGGACACCACAGTTGCACAGTATCAAGGCTCATCCACATTGTTTATATACTGTTTAAAGCTCAGTAGACCAAATTAAGCAGCCTGGCTGCAACTGGACTGTGTAATTGCATGACTAAGAAGATTAGTGAAGATTTACCTACCCGGCAGTCATCGAGTGCTGCTCATGTAGAGCTGGTGCCTAGCAACAGGTCGCTGTGCCACATTAACATTCATCAGACTGGGACAGAAGCTCAATTGGTCAGAAATGGGAGATGTTACTTGCTTATGACTTCTCATGGGAGTTTTCTTCTGTCTATAGATGAGCTACTGGAAAAGGTGAGTGTCCAGGTAGAAATATATTTATAAGGCTTGAAAATTCCCACCTACAACATGACCTAATAGGTTTACTGCTGTTTATATCCTCATAATTAAATCACAAAAGTCAAACAACATATAATCTAATCTTCTTTCCTTCCATCTATGGTTGCTTGTACTTTTGTCTTGATCAGAAGATCACAATGTGAGTGGAAGATGCACCAACATGTCCACCTGCACGCTACAGACATTTTTCACGTGGACATACAAGGGGGTTCTCTGCACCTGCAGGTTTCTTTGGGTGAGTGCATGCTCTGCGCAAAAGAAAAATGCCTGTTTTATGAATGTTCTTCATGGTGTTTCTCAGCGATGACCTTTTACATTGCAGATTTGCCCATACAACGCCGTTAAATTCTTACCAAGACATAAATACACAACCGAGATGAAAATCAGGCAGGTGAAAAGACCTGCTGTGGGTAAGAATTTCATAAAAACAAGTTAACAAATGTTTCAAAAAAGGAATTTCTTTTCATAATGTAAATGAAATTTTATGTATGCCAAAAAGTTCCCTTTCCATGACAACAGGGTAAAACTTGTAATTAATTTTCTCTTTCCTGACAACATTCTCAAAACTCTGATGTTTTTTTCTTTTCAATTTCTTTTACTAGTTTGTGAAAATAAAGTGACCGCATCCATCCCAGGGAGCCCCGACCGTGTGAATGCACTTCATAAAAGAGTGACAAAAATGGAGAAAGAGATTCTCTCCCTCAAGACCAGGATTGCATGTGAGAGAGCATCATGGGAAATGAGGTTTTTAGAGCTGCAAAGACAACAAGAGGAGCTACGTAACCAGGTGTGCTGTGTGGGTGTTGCTAATGAGGTGCTTCTGACTGATGACTAATGCTCACATTTATTGTCCTCAGTTAGCCTCTGATGCTAAAGTGTTGGTGACGGCGGGTTCTTATGATGGTGAGGGGGAGTCAGGGGGGGACAATGGGGATGTGTCTGATGAAAGCTTAGGTAAATAACAACAAAAAATAAATCAAATAAGACAATTAAAATGAATAATTCATTAACAATGCACTATTTGATGAACAGGTGGTTTTCACAAACACAGGAGGTCTAGAGCGTCATCAAAAAGTGAAACTCAGCTGTTGTCTCCTCTGAACTCAAGACCTACTTCTTCAATATCTTCAGCCTCCAGGTAAAGAAGAAGTTCTGCATTTAGTCTGGAAAAAAGCATCATACAATTCAACCACCTGTATCACAAACCAAGTTATTTAACCCTCCCACTGTCCTAATGGGTGTGACCCCATGAGGAAAGTTGACCATTGAGCAGGGTTGATGGTTCATCCCTTGGGTCCACGTGGCAGGGGTGAGGAGTGAGCACCACCTCACCCCTGCCACGTGGACCTTAAGGGATAAACCATCAGTCCTGCTCAATGGTTAACTTCCCTTGCGGCGTCACCCATAAAGACAGAGGGAGGGTTAACTTAAAAAAATGAAATCTGGTTGCGAGTACTAGCATAATTTCCTATCATTTTTGATGATCTCAAGAGTTGTTTAAATGATGCAAGTCCTGAAAAGCATGATTAAGACGGGTTGAACTGTGTAAAAAGTGACTTCAAGATATTTTTTTATGAGTTATGTTACTTAGTGCATTATTAAACATTAATAAACTATTAAATAAAGAATTAACAACTGCTCAGCCATATTATGTAATGTACCCTCCCCCCCCTTTGCCTATGACATCACACTATGGCAACGCCACACAACGCTGGGACCCATTATTTTATAAGAACTAAATTAATATCAGATTCTGCCAATAAAAGGGCTCTAAAACAATAAATACTTAGCATATTTACTGCAAAATCTCATTTTTCTGCTTTAGTGCTGCAACAAGGTTTTATTAATAATAAATTATTATACCTTTTGTTTTACTACAGCATTGGTAAGCTTCCTGTGCACAGATTATTAAGGATGCTTGTTTCAGCTGTGAGATTAGACGATAGGATCAATGATAAAATAAGTTGTCACACACTCCATGGAAACTTTCAGAGAATCCACAAATAGTGGCTTTCAAATGGTTTTGTTACTTTTTGCAAGTTTAGAAAAGCAGCAGATGAGACAGCATGTCTGATAATTTAGTTCTTCATCTGATAATATTAGAACATGTCAGTAATGTCTGAGGGGCTTTTATAAACACTGTATAACTAACACTGCTGGAGAGGGTATGGATTACACAGAGGCTTCTGGGGAGCCCAGCTATGGGGGTGGGGTGGTGGTGGTGTGTGTGTGTGTGTGTGTGTGTGTGTGTGTGTGTGGGGGGGGGGGGGGTCATTTTGCCTTGGCCCCCAAAATGTCTTGAAACGGCCCTGGGTGTGTGACTGAGTGTTAAAGGTGATCTGAATTGTATCAGATGTATAAATATTGTAACTTATTGTTTTATACAGGTAAAAACGTGTAGTGGAGATAAATCTACCTACATTTTACTTTTCAACACTTTGTTTTGTTTTCTTGTTTTTATTGAACTATTTCCTGTCCTCTGTCTCTCATCTTCCTGCATCTCCTCTAAACTCTTCAGAAAGGCTGCTGCCTGGATTCTTACTTTTTCACCTCATCAGTTACTTTTGAGCAGATCAAAGGGATCTCCTGACCACAAAGCGGAGAGCGCGTTTCGATGCTGCGTCAGTGAGGTGAAATCACCGCAGCACAGGTGATGAGCTCCGCAGCGGCAGAGCGCTTCAGGCACAAATAAGACAGAAAATAGAGAACATGTGCGGACATGAACGATCGTGTGTTAATTATAGATTTTTTGGTTGCGCCACTTTGAGAATGGACCGTGCGCTGGAAGCAGCAGCCTGGAGCGCTGCGCAACAACGATCATCGCTCTGCCGCTCTCTGCTGAAAAGAGTCCATGAATGATAATATAGTAATATAGGTAGAAAACTTTTTTCCGGCTCCCCTGGATGTGTAGGATATACAGCTCCCCCATTCCTGCTCCTGGATGAAAAGCCGGACATTTTCATCAATACAAGAACCCGGACATCCAGGACAGAGTGAAAAGCGGACATGCCCAGGGAAAACAGGACTTACGGTCACACTAGTTTAATATAAAGCGGGAGATTACAGATACAGTAATTTGCTCGTGCCCTTGCTGCCCTGGGCCCTTTAGAGTTTGTGGGCCCTGGGCAATTGCCCAGTTGCCCATATGGTTAATCCGGCCTTGCCATGAGACACCCGCTCCTGCTCGGTGCGCCGTTATTATCACGATGGAGAGAATACACAACAGAGAAGTAGAGAAACTATGAGGTGTAAAAGAACAGCTTTTTAGGAAAATGTCTGTGAGAATGAGGAGAGCAGGAGGTCTGAGTTATATCCTACAACAGAACTGTTTGGATCACCACACCGTATCTGTCCTAATGTCACTTTATTGATACTTTTGGAATTTATTGTACTTATCAAAACAACTTGGGCCATTTTAATCATACTAATTAATAACTTTAACACATAACAGTTTTTATTTTCCTCCCTTTTGCTGTTGAGATATAGATTATATAAATATACATACAAGGCCGGATTAACCATAGGGCAACTGGGCAATTGCCCAGGGCCCACAACTCCATAAAGGGGCCAGGGCAGCAAGGGCACGAGCAAAATCTCCCGCTTCATATTAAACTAGGGTGACCATACGTCCTCTTTCCCCCGGACATGTCCACTTTTCACTCTGATGGAAAAAACGTTTTCTACCTATATTACATCGTTCATGCACAGAACCTTGCGGGACACAACTAGTGAGGGAGGTGGTAAACAGCCACAGAGAAGGAACGCTCAGACCCGCCCCCATGCATTTTTAGAACTGATTTTTATGGGTAAATGTTTCGAATATTTTTCAACAACTTAGCATCATTTAATTCATTCCCAACAACGTTTTGATGGATATTTCCAGAAAATAAAAACTACACATTGCAACTTCAATAAAGGGTTCCTTTCTTTATTAATGCTCAATAATGCACAAAGTAACATTAATTAAAAATACCCTTATTGTGAAGTGTTACTAATGTAGTTTTGCAGGTCAGAGATGAAAGAGTCTCATAGATTTCTATCAGTTTCTAGACTTCAGATTATACGCCCCAGTGGTTCCCAAAGTTGGGGTCATGCTAAGTTTTGGCTTCTGAGACAGGATGATCATCACTTTCTCACCAAAAACGTAAGCATTTGGGCGTTAATAACCCACAGTAGGTTGCTTTAAATCTGGGGTTCCCAAACTTTTAAGCTTTTAACACACAGAATGGCAAATGTCAAGAAATGCTACCCCAGATATCGCTGGTCTGGCAACGCAAACATGCTTAAAAAGCTAAATAATTCAGGGTAAGAAGAAAACCGCTTCAGTCCGTGCTCCCTTATGACCATTTGAGTTTTTGTGACAATTATGTCAGAACTATAGCTTCAGCAATTGTTTTTCAAATTCATTCGGATATTTGCGAATCATCTCAAGACCTTCTGTAGCTGTTGGTGACCCACTTTGGCCCACGACAGTCAATATATACTCAAAAATATCAACCTATCCACCCAATACTGTTAGATAAGTATAAACACACCACATGTATTAAACCTCTGCCTTCTAATTCATCTAATTTAATCATTTCTTTCTCAAGCATTCGATCATGGAAAACGTCCCATGGGCCACACCGGGCTTTCGTTCCTCACTCACCTATGGACTTGCAACTGGGTCACCGGGTCAGGATCATGCTGCCATCTGGCAGGATCAGCACAGGAACTGTTCGCTTCCTGGGCCACCTGCAGGGGGAGGCAGAGTTCCACCTTGGGGTGGAACTGCAGACACCTGGTGCAGCTTTCTGTGATGGCAGCCACAACGGACAGGTCTACTTTGAATGGTAATGGATTTCAGTTCCTGGGACACTGACACACACATGCATGTTGAGGTGATTTATGAAGGTTAGGTTCTGTGGTATGATGGTGTCAGCATGACTCAGCACTTCTATGAAAGTCTTTCACATCCTTAAATCGTATAAACTTTGATATATATTTTAGTGATTATTTATGTAAAGTTGCTGCTTTTTCAGGAGTTTTGAATCACACAATAGTTTATTTATTTATTGGTTCAAGTTCAAGGAAACACCCATTGTCAGACACGGACTGACTTGTTGAACTAAATTTGCATTTAAGCCTGTTGAAAAGACAATTAAAAGCAATGCACAGGCTTGTTCAATCATTGTTTATATATTAGACATCAAATCTGGTTTAGCTAAAAGCACACTTGAGATGAATTTTCTGTCCTGATTCTAACACCAGTTTCTTTTACTTGGCAGTGAACCTGGATATGGTGTTTTTGTGTCATTCCACAAACTACTGATGGCCTGGGAATGACTGGAACAGAACCATCAGGGAGAATTTCTTGGAAAAATACTGAACCAAATGTATTCGAAAGAGTAGCTCATGTCTTGAATAACAGGAATCAAAGAACAAAACACGATTATATGATATATGTACTGTGTGTATCACTAACACGTGTGTCTTGTCAGAGAAAAAAAAGCAAAATCAGTTATTATAAAAACGTATATTTTTAAATAAATATAAATCCCACATGCCAAAGAACAAAAGGCAGTCTGTCTTTTTTTGTGTGGTAACTTCCTTATAGTCAGCTGACAAAGCAAACAAGTCAAGCAAAACCTTTTTTCTGCTGACAGCCTAAAAATGGTTCTTTGATTAAAATACCTCCAAGTATGACAAATATGTTTCATAGAACAAACATGTTTTCTTTTCTTCAGAATTGTTTTTTTAAAGAAAAAAAAAAGAAAGAAAAACAAGTTTTTTATTCACTTTGACATATAGTTAGAATCAGTTAAAAGCAGCAAGTTAGTTTTTTTTTTGGGGGGGGGGATGAGGCACTGATAATTAAAGTGCTTTTAAAAATTGAGTTTTTAAAAGACTTTTGAAATGTGGCAGGCACAATTAGATAATGTTTCTTAAAGGTGCATTGTGTAAGAATGACATCCTGTGGTCAAATGTGGGTACTGCAGCCTGTTTTCCAAACATGAGTGACTTTCCCTTGAGTCCATGTGGCAGGGGTGAGGAGTGAGCACCACATCAATCCTGCTCAATGGTCAACTTTCCTCGCGGGGTCTCCCATTAGGACAGTGGGAGGGATAACTGTACAACACAAGTGAAAGAAAACAGCCACACATTTTCAAGAGATGCTTCAGGTTATGTGGAATGGATTTTTGTTGAACGTTTATAAACTGTTACTATCTTCTTTTGCAGATTGCTCTCTGAACAACTTTCGTTTCAAGAAATAGAGATCATATCTGATCACACAGTCAAGAAAAGGGGATTTCTCTCTTGTAAAACATTTCCGAAGTGTTGTAAAAATTCATGCTAAGGCTTTTCCACACCTTAACAGTGGAAATTGTTGCACATCAGATGATCATTCTGGCTAAAAAAATTAAACTTTGGCCAAAGGTGTTAGAAGAGTTTTCACTAACTTCTGCTGTAAATAACTACAGAATACACAAATAATCATGCATTGTAAAATAAATGTTTACAACATATCAGCATAAATCACTGACATGTTTGGAATGTTTTCAGTTGTAACCGGTTTTAGTGAGGTTGTTATCTAAATCCAGTCAGAACTTCTTTTTTTCCTGCTGCTGCAGTTAAAAGAGTTGTCTACAACATGTAATCCTTCTGAAAATGTGTGAACTGTCACCATTCAGGCTTATGTTACCCCCTCCTTCACATTTTAACACCTCCTGTCGGGGACGTAAAAAGGCTGCTCTTGAGAATGATGGTGAAAATGCACCTCTACGGGTGTTGTACGTGCATTTTTTAAATAGTCAAAACAAATATGAAGTCAAGCAGTGATGTAAGTCCCAGTGTTTTAGCCATGGGAACACAAACAGTGCGACACATTAAACTATTTGCCGAAGCAGTATGAGGTAAAGAACGTATTTGTCTTTGCAAAAGGACTTCCTTGAAGAGAAATGTGGTATGGTGTGTTAAAGTACGAAATGTGCTTTTATGGTCAAGCTGTGGCTGAGATGCGACTTCCTGTTCAGTTTCTTTGGAAAACATACTCCACTTGAGTTCTTTGCCTGAAGCTAATCATATTTTTGTACGTATACAGGATCTTCCGTCTACTATGCATATCTATGTAAGTTTCCCTGGAATTATGCCTGTATTATTTACCAAGCAAAACAAGTTTACTTCCTGTAACTGAAAAGGTGATGTTATGTCACACACATGACGAGAGGCAAAAGAAGCTCCAACCTCAATGGTCTTAAATAATAGCTGTCTCGTTATAAATGGACAGCAAAGTGTCCAGTATCTTAAGCATTTGGGTATATTGTCTGTATTTTTGTGTTTGAGTAAGGCCTTAACAATGGATGGCCATTTGAGTCAAAAATCCCCCGGAGCACAATTTTCAAACGAGTACTTCGTCAGATCGTTCAACTTCCAGCAAAATGACAAGCACATCAAACTCCTTTTCATCAGTGGCAACAAGCAAAGAGGTAAATGTGTAAAACAACAACATTTATGAATGGTGAAAATTTTGTAACCGTTTGTTACAAATCAGTAAATACATTTTGTCCTCACAGACTTTCGTAGAATAAAACATAGTGTGTCCATGGGTGGGCTGGCCATCTGGCATATTGGGCACTCCCGGTGGGCCAAGTAACTGTATACCCATTAGGCGGCCCGGGTCCAGCCAGCAACTAACATTTCAAGATCCTGGTTCTGGTCTGTAGGGCCTTACATGGACAAGCACCATCTTACATTGGTGATCTTCTTAGTCTCTACACCCCCAGCAGGTCCCTGAGGTCCAGTGATCAAAGCCTACTGTTGTGCAGCACCAGGCTAAAGACCAAAGGTGACAGATCATTTGCTGCTGTGGCCCCCAGACTCTGGAACTCTCCCACTGAGCCTGAAATCAGTGGACTCAGTGGTCTCCTTTAAAAAGCATCTGAAGACTCACTTGTTCTAAGTGGCTTTTGCATGACCTTCTTCACCACTCTCTTTATTCTGCTCTATCCACCTATTCCACCTTCCTCAGGATCCACTGATTTCCCTCTTTCCTATTCACTCTCTCTTTTTTAACATTTTTTAATCACAATTGTCTATTTTTTGCTCATTTTAAATATATTTTAACCATTTTCAAAATTATTTTTTATATTTTTACATTCTTTGTTGTTGTGAAGCGCCTCATGATTTTTATCTTGAGAGGCGCTATAGAAATTATATTTTCTTCTTCTTCAGGCCGGCCCTACAAACAATATGCTCCTAGTTACAGGAAATGAGCGCTTGTGTCACTATAGGGGAAACCTCTTTGACCTGGGTGGGACTCGAGTGGGGTGTACCACAGGATTCTGTACTGGGTAACTTCTTTTTGCCATATACCTTTGGGGAACCTTCTTTGGTGATTTGGCGTGCGCTTTCATTTATTTGCCGATGACTGTCAGATCTACCTTCCCCTTCAGCGGGGGGGGGGGGGGGGGGGGGGGGTGTTGATGGCTCTATATCAATATTCATGGACACCTTAGGGGATGTCCACTCCTGGCTATGAATCTTTTATATTTGAATGATGCTAAGACTGAGTTCATTGTTCTTAGACCTGGTACGTCTGTTCGCACCTGTAATGCTGTGGACCTAGGCCCTTTAATGCCTAGTGTGAAGACTACCATCTGAAATTTAGGAGTAAAAATGGATTTGGCCCTTAAGTTTAATGTTCTAATCAACCAAATTGTGCGATTGTGTTATTTTATTTTATTTAATTCTTTTGCGCCAACTGTTCAGATTTAAGCCCCTGTTGTCCAGAGGTCATCTAGTCTGTCGCACATGCTTTTAATTTGTCAAGACTAGACTATTGCAATGCATTGTATGCCGGCCTCAGTCAGGGCACGGTTGCACTCTTGCAGTTGGTCCAAAATTCTGCTACTACGTTTGTGACAGGCACTAGGCGCGGGGGTAATTTCACTCCTGTGTTGGCATTCATTCACTGGCTTCTGGTGCAATAAAGGGCCAAATTTAAGGTCTTATTACTGAAAGAGAGCTTGGAGTAGATCCGCTGCTCCTCCACATCGAGAGGAGCCAGTTGAGGTGGCTCGAGCATCTGGTTAGGATGCATCCTGGATGCCTCCCTAGTGAGATTTTTTGGGCACAGCCAACTGGGAGGAAACCCAAGGGAAGACCCAGGACATGCTAGAAGGACTGTGTCTCTCGGCTGGTCAGGAAATGCCTTGGGACTCCCCTGGAGGAGCTGGCCCAAGTGGCTGGGGAGAGGGAAGTCCGGACCTTTCTGCTTAGGCTACTGTCCCCGCGACCCGACCCCGGATAAGCAGAAAAGAATGGATGGATGGAAATGTATGCATTAACTCATGTCATAATTATTAATAAAAGTGCACCATTGGTTTTGTGCTAAAAATATATGTGTTTGGTTTATAGCAGCCAATTAGATTATGAACCCTTTCTAATTATTTGAGGTTGTGGGCGGTTTACATGTGCCACCCTTGTCCAAATCTGCACCCCTACCTGGCCATCCCCCAAAATTTCTAGATACGCCACTGCCTGGGGAGACCGTTTCCTTTTCCTAATGCTGTACTAAAAACATTAACACTGATCCATGTTAATGAGAACTTACTTCCATGTTTTATTATTTTCAATCATACATTTTACTTAAAGGAACACTCATAATTTGTAGTTTTATTTACAAGAATTTCATGAAAATTATGCACATTAACAGAAAAAGAATAATGACACACAAGGTGAATTCCTTTAGCCTCCTGAAGTGTTTTATCAGTTTCCAAACCAAATTAGGGCTGTGGTTAGATGAAAGATAACACTGAATGAGTAGAGAAACTGATCAGAGTTTAAAATATTTTTTAAAAATTCTCTATTTGAAAAACTAAAATAAAATGTGAAAGGAATCAGATACAATATGCATCAACGATCATACCTCTAGAAACTCGCCTTGTTGGATCTAGAAGCACTTTTCATCCAAAATATGGACGACAAGGTTAAATCTGACTTAAATGTCATACAAATAACTCGGCACTGGTTGCCTTAATAGTTCATAAATAGCGATCACCCTGACTATAAAACCTTAAAACATTTCCAGAGCTCAAACTAAAACATCAAGTTGACTAACCAAAGAATCCCTTAGCTTTCAGCGTTAATATCTCTGCAGCCAGTTTTTCAGCATCCAGTATATTTGGGTACATCTCCATGATCGTGTCTGCTTCCACTGGTGTGAAGATGGCTAGCAGTTTTTTGCGTAGTTCTGAACTTTTTGAAACAAAATCAGCAGGATGGGGTGGGGGCCAGGCTAGGTACTGTTGATCATTGTAGGAGCAGCAGGGGCTGTGGGAATGGGAAGTATGGACCACTTGCGGGAGGGTACAAGATGTCCTGGCCCGAGGGATCCCTTGAAGGGGATCAGACCAGTAATTCTGCTGAAGATGGGAGTGTCCATTATTAGGGAACTGGCTGGGTAAGCTGTGTTGATGGGGCACATAGGGTGGGAACATTGGAGGAAAATACGATTGACTGTTGAGGTCAATGTTTTTATGATGTTGTTGCCGACGATGAGTACTGTTCCTGTAGGACCGATTGGTGTTTTCTTCTGAATGCACGGAGGCAACCTGAGCTTTGGCGATAGCACTCTGGTGCTGTGGCCTGACTCTGTGGTTGTTAGTGAGGGACACATCAGAGTACTGGCTGTCAAAAGAGCTAAAGCCAGAATCCTGGTACTCAAGAGGCATAGTGTAGAAAGGATTTTGACCGAGGTGCATCCCAGAATATTCTGACTGAACTTGACCTGACATCGTATGGTTTGGGCTTTGTCTACAGTCCTCTTGGTCTGGCAAGTTTTCGATAAAATGACCTGTAAGTGGGGAACTTTGTCGATCTCGAGGATGAAGACAGGCGTTATGGGCAGGCCGAAGTTCAGACTGAGGCTGCCTGACTGATGATTTAGCCTTTCTGTCTTCTTTCACCAAAGAAATCTGGGCTTTCTCTCTCAGCTCATCGGCCAACGACAGATAGGACTGGTTTGCTCGTTCAGGGTGGTAATACTTACATTTGATGCCGTAAGTGCACTTTTTGTCTGGATAAAAAAAAAACACACATAATGGAATCATTCACTTTAAACCAGTCAGCCTTCTTCAGTAGGAAAACAATTCAAAGCGCCTAATTAGTACAGTGGTAACTTCTCACCATATGGGCAAAGGGGTTTCTTCGGCTCCACATGCAGAGGTGTTTTTCTAAGAAAGTTGTCGAGGTTAGGGCCATGTCGACCCAGGGGGTCATCTGGGGGCATAAACCTGGACAGACAAGCAAGAAAATAAATGAATAAATAATGAAGAAAAGAAGAACAAATTTGCCACGATTCTTTTCCTTGTTCCTACAACTCTGGTATGCAATGGGCTGAGGTTGCAGCACTTCCTTGGTAAGCCAAATCTACTGGAAATGAAAGTTGGCAAATAATGCTTACTTGTCATTCACAAATGAGAACATGAGGAGTCGCTCCTCGATGCAATTCTTCCACTCCGGTTTTTCCCCTTGCAGATCCCGGTATGTGTCGTTGGACACAATCACGCCATCCACGTCGTGCGCCAACTTGACGATGAAGCGGTCATCGTAACAAACCACTCGCTTGCCCTTGACTTGCCGTGAAGGAGTGAAGGCCAATATTTTACGTCTTTCAAGCTCCAGTAGAATGTGCCGATCTGAAGATATAAACAGTCACGAGTCAGAAACTTTTAAAGAAATACCTTTACGAGACATTTTACTCTGTCTTCTTTATAACTGATTGTAAAATGTACAACCTTGTCAGGAAACGGTGTGTACATTTTTACGACTGACATCACAACATTCAGATAAAAGAAAAGCATAATGATCTCTCGAATATCCAAAGATTGTTGACAGAAAACAAACGCTATCAAATATGTTTTCTGTCAGCAAAAAATACGTATCCCGTTTACCTTCAAGACGAGCAAATTAAAAGACAACACACTTCTATAAGAAGCGAGAATGTAAATTTAATGAACCATAAACTTTGTAAATGAATGCTCAACTGGGTTATGTAATGTTTGCCAAGAGGCTCTTAATGTTTTTAAGCAAGGACGTGCTTTTGTTATTTTCAGAGACTATTTTCACTTGACCTTTTGGTGCAAATGGCTGTCAGACCTTTTGGTGCAAATGGTTGTCAGCCCTCTGCAAACAAGACACTGTAGATGCATTTGAAAAAAAAAAAACATCAGAAGTTCCTGGTGGGAATTTCCCGGAGGTGATTGTGGGTTCATTTTTACTTCCCTATTCACGACTGAAAATAGAACCTTTGGATTGCTCCACCCAGGCTGTTCTGATACTAAAAAGGTGCTGCAGTTTCAGAAGACACTGTCCTCCTCTAGTTCCAAGACCGGAAGACATGGGATCGATTTAAATTTTGAATCTTATTCTTAGCTGTTATATTCAATTAAATGGTCCAAAAACTTCCTCCTTCCTGTTACACCTACATACTGATTCAAGTTACGTTTACTGTTTTTTATTTTTTACATAAATATCCTAGATTTTTGCCAGCTTTGAGTGTGAATCACTAACCGATTAAAGAATAGTATAATTCTCATTATGACGGGGAGGTGGTGGAAGAAGTACTTGGATTTTTACTTCAGTAAAAAATGAGTAAAAATTATTTAGGTAAAAGTGGAAGTATTCTGGGATTTTTTTACTTGAAGAGACGATGTGTAGTTTTTTTTAATTAATCTCTGGAAATATCATCGAAATGTTGTTGAAAATGAATGAAATGATGCCCAGTTGTTGAAAAATATTGGTGGGTTTGTAACATATAACTATAAAAGTTGGGTCTAAAATACATGAGAGCGAGTTTAAGTTTCTGGGCGGAACTATACTAGACACAGTGTTTCCTTCTACGGGAGCCTGTGAGGACAAAACACATTTACTGATATACCTCTTCACTTGTTGCCATTGATGAGAGTCTGATGTGCGTGTTACTTTGCTGGAGGTTTTTGAGATTTTTGACTCTAATGGCCACTGGTAAGGTCTTACTCAAACACAAAAATATTGCTTACTTGCAATGATTCAGGTATGTACCGCCCCCTATTGCCAGGGAAAATACACATCATCACTTTAAGTAAGAGTATGTATTTTCAAGTCAACTTAAAAGTAAAAAAAGTTAAAGTACTCAACTAATATTTAAATATGCCTTGTGTGTGTAGAAGTGAGCTGTCAGACCGAAAGGAGATTAGCAGAAAAAAATTGTTAAAAATATTTTTTCATACCTCTTAACAACGTTCTATCATAGTCTATAAATACACTGTGGACATAAATAATCTCTGGAATAAAGCGGTTCTCTTTTTTTGTCAAAAAATGTATTTGGGACTGAAAGCAACTACTGGACCATCTGGTTGTTGGTCTTGGTGAACCTCAGTGCTTCCGCACTTCCCTGCGCCCTCCACTCATAACAAACTGGTGTATTTAGGAACAGAACACCACTGGTGAGAGAGGTTCTCCGCTCAATAATATCAGAGGAGAAACAGTCGGCTGCTACCACTTCAAGTTTAGGACAAACTACCAGAGTCCCAAAAAGAAAAACACCATTTGATGGCACGGACAACAGGACACATTTGGACATAGAAAACAGTGACCGGTATTTACTGCCATCTTGTTTCCTCTTGCAGGTGTCCAGTTCCGGCAGAAGCATCTCAGGAAAGATACCCGAGGGCAGGGATCAGCGTTCCGTGCATGTGTGTGGTCAAAACCTAGCTTGTTCTTTAAATTTGCTAAAGCAGCTTTAAAGTACAATTAGCTTAACTGCAGTCCGACGCGGATAATGGACTGCGCTGCCAGTCTTTAACAGAGCGGTGGTGGAGTGGGGGTCGGACAGAAAGCTAATTAAAGTACTTTTGAAAACTTTCAGAAAATGTAGTGGAGCAGAAAGTACAGATAACGGCTTTAAAATGTAGTGGAGTAAAAGTAAAAAGTAGGTCCCAGAAAATTACTTAAAGGTATGCTGAATGATCTTTTTCTTCCGAGTGGATCATCTGAACCATTGGTCCGCATAACAGTTAAGTCATTCTGATGAACCGTTCACGCAAGGCCTTCATCGTAAGTGCTCATTGATGGGTAGTTTCACTTCCTGTGTATGTGGAAAGCGACGCCTCTGTCACCGGTTTTCTGCTCAACGGGTAAGCTAAAGTTCAGCATGCTGTTTGGAGAAATTCATTTCAGATTACTGCTAGAAGAAGTTAGCTGCAAGGATGGCAGCTACTTGTAAACAGAGTGCGCACAAGGATTACTGGGCGTTCTCTCTTGTGCGTATTATTTTCAAAACGTGGAGAGGGCGGTTCTTTGCTGAAATTCAGAAACAGACTCCACCATACCTTTAAGTAAAGTACAGATACATAAAAGTTGTACTTAACAAAGCACGTAGTTACATGGCTAATGCTGAGCAGCGATTAATTCCAATGACATGGACCTCTCTCCCCCTGAGCCTGAGATCAGTGGACTCAGTGGTCTCCTTCAAAAAGCTGCTGAAAACTCACTTGTTCAAGCTGGCTTTTATGTGTCCTTCGTCACCACCCTCTCCTTATTCTGTTCTTATTCCGCCTTTCCCGGGATCCATTGATTTCCCTCTTTCCTATTCATTTTCTCTCTCCCTTCCCTGACATTTTTTTGTTCTTTTCTCCTTTTAAACATGTTTTAATCATTTTTTAAACCTTTTTATACTTTAAGCTTTTTTGGTTTTTGTGAAGCGCCTTGCGATTTTTATCTTGAGAGGTGCTATATAAAAGATCGTCTTCTTCTTCTACGGGATGAGAGGCGGGCTTAGTAGACAAAATTTACGTATCACAATACAGGGTAAGACTATCACTTATTGGTTTCTAAAAAATCTGACATAATTCCTGAAAGGGGGTAAACTCCAGCTTATTGCTTTAACATATATTTGAAAAAACTATTAACTCATTCACTGCCAATGACGTTGGAGCGAGCCCCCGCACCATGAGAACAAACATCTCAGCTCTAAAGCCGATCTTCATCCGCGTTCGTCACACGTCACGTGATCAGGAAGCAGAAAATCCATGGGTTAGGAGATCGTTTTGGGCTGCTGCTGTAAAAAAAAGTGAAGCGCGAACCGGAAAAGCTTCTGCAGATCGCAATTCGACAACGGATTATGAAAGAATGGATAACGCTCGAAAAGTGCGGATTCTTCCTGATGTAAGAGGTGAGTCTCCTCTCTGTTTTGGTAGTTTTGGCGTTGACATTATTCTAGCGCGCAACGTTCTGTGACTCCTAAAAAAAAACAAACAGTAAAAAATGGTGAGAAACGCTGGCAGCGAATGAGTTAAAATGTATATTGTTTCAGCTTGATGAGACAGTTATTTGTTGTTGTTCTTTAACCAGGAAACAAAGATTTTAAAAATGTTTAGATACTCCACTGTGTGTGTGTGTGTGTGTGTGTGTGTGTGTGTGTGTGTGTGTGTGTGTGTGTGTGTGTGTGTGTGTGTGTGTGTGTGTGTGTGTGTGTGTGTGTGTGTGTGTTTTATTCCACTCAGCTCTAGCAAGCAAAAAAGCCTGTTGAAACCTGCTGAGGATCCAACCAGATGCTGTTCTAACCTGACGCCAAAATATTTTCACATTTGCAAATTTCCTGTGCCAACACAAGTGGGAACCTTTATGAATTGGAAACGAGCATTGGCGTGTTACACACATCTCCAAATCTTTTTTTTTCCAATTCTTTAATCTGACTGACAAAAAAAAAAAAAAAAAAAAAAACAATTCCAGCTCACCCCCCACCCATTCCTGTATTTCTACCTTTACTTGTCATTTATCTTTTTGAAGCCAGCATGCTGCTCAAGGATGTGTCAGCAAAGGTCACGTTTTAGTTCTGTTTGAACCGCACCCAGGATTTGTAACTCTATGCTTTTGTCTCCTTTAAAAAAAAAGGTGGTGGAGGGGTTTGAGAGGCCTGAACTGTTTTGCATTTCCTGCTACCTCACCTTTGATTTGGTCTCCTCTGGAGTGCTCTTTGCGCCAAGAAGGAACAAACACAGTGATGGTATCATGACCTCTGTCCAGGAAGAAGTCTACCGCCAGCTGGATGCCCCGGCACGAGAACACTTCCTTGTTGCCATGACTGGAAATGACACAAGCAAAAAGGGCGTGGCGGAAAGATTGGTAAAAATAATATTTGAATAGAAAAAGATCTATAAGGAAGAAGCAAACTTCGGTTACTGCGGGTAAACACTGGAACCATTTACACTTTCTTAGTGGAGAAAATCTGCTCACTAATTATTGCATTTCACATCAATTGAGGGGTGGAGATAGCAAATTTTCATTCTGCATGTAACATTTGTCAAGACATGCCCCGACACTGTGGCTAACACCAAGAAAGGTTGACAGGAAGTAAATAACAATTAGAATCAGAGTCTGATTATTGTATTATTGAACAGAGTTCATCTACAGGTCGAGGAATAAAGCACTACAACTTTATGATGTGTTATGATTTGAGATAATGACATCTAATCTAAGAAGGAAAACAAATGTTTAATTATCATTACCTCATGGCAACATTGCTGCCATCAATAACAATCGGCCTCAGCTCAGAATCAAAGCTCCGTGTCTCTTGAAGCTCAGGAGGCGTGGAGTTCCCAACATCCCGACTTTGAGGCAGCGAAAGGTCCCTTTGGGTTGAGCTCTTCTCATCAGAGTCAGAAAGGCTCGGCAAAGGGCTGGTTCTACTTCTAATCAGCTCACCCAGCAAGGAGTTTGTGTCGGCGCTCAGGCCCAGCTTCCTCAAAGCAGTCTTTACCTCTGCTGTTGAGTAGCCAAGTTTCCTGAAGAAGTCAACTTTGTGCTGGAGATCCTCACTTTCTGTCTCCAGGAGGTCTGACTCTGAGCTGAGACTGGGATTTGTCGTGTCCGTGGAGGTCCAAGATCCTTTCATTGTGATACTCGTCCCCTGATTGAGACAAATTAAGATTTAATTAGGAATTTTATTATAGTTTCATCATTTGTTTCCTTTAAGAAACATAAAGATAATTAATAATCGATCATATTTGCAGGGGAGGTTCTAGACCAATGCTGGAGGGGGGCCAGGCTGGGGTCAGCTGCTCTGTTAGAGAGGTACGTTGGTAAGAAAACGATACTAACATTGCCTTTGAAGTATTTAGAATTTTGGTAAGTAGTTACAACAATAAAATAACAGCTATTTAGTTACAATTGCTTTAGATTTGAATGTTTTCAAAGTGTAACTTATTCTATCTCTGAGACAACATGAAAGTATTTGTCTCAGCATCTATTTTTAACTTCAGATAAATGTCTTCACTTGCTTTGGTTCCACATCTCACATTAGGCTAAATTATAGTAAAAAAAAAAATCAAAATTAATTATTGCTTAAGAACTGCTCTAAGCAGGGGGCACCAGGGGGCCCAGGCCACCCTGGATCCCCTTACTCCTGGGATCGCCCCTGATTATTTAACATGATTCAATTTTACAAAGATTTGTTAAATAAAATACAAAAACAGACACAATTTTGCAATAAATAACACCAACCCTACACTTTAAATGTTATTGGTCTCATTTAAGCAAATCCAAAATTTATGTAGAATACATTTATTTCCACGTGGTTGTAATGACTAACATCAACTGGTAAGTATTTTAAGTGGTAAATACTATGATCAGACTTATTTATAGCTTTAAGTTAAATTTGATTAACCCGTTAGACAGATTATACAAAATTTAAGAAAAAAAATCTAATGTTTTATTTCAAATGTATTATTTGATTGTTTTTCCTATTTTAATATGAAGAAAACCCAATTTTTGGAACTCAGGTGTTGTGCTATGACTATTGTGATTAAAAAAAGTCTCATTTTCTGACGTTTTCTAAACCACATAAACCGATATAGCACAGTATGTGCAGCTATGACTTCTTCTGGCAAAAACCTCTGTTAAATCATTTTCTGGGGATTGTGACGTCACGCAGAAGTCCAACACGCAAACATATGATCTACAGATTGTGTGCTTGATTTAGCTTTATTTCCTAACGTTTGCCATTAAAACTGAGAATCACCACAATAATTAAAACCAAAACAGAAAGTGTTTAGAGAAACAGGCGCAGAACTTTATTTTCTTTTTGTCTTTGAGATGAAAAAAACCGAGAAGCTTCCGTTTCTTTTTTTGCGGCGTACCTTTTACCTGACGCAGGTGAAAGCATCGACGCCACGTATGAAACGTTCAGGGCTGCTAACCGGAAGAGGCGTTAAAAAAAGATTAAAACTGAAATAAGAGGTAGAAGAGAACACTTACCTGCTCCGTTTGTGTCTTTGTCTCGGTATTCCATTTATGAAAAGACTTTACTTCTGCTGCTTCCTATTATTGTACGGTAACGTTTGACTCCGCCCACTTTTCCTCCCTGCCCCCCCCCCCCCCCCCCCCCCCCCTTTTCCAGGCCAAGACATGCAGCCCGAAAAATTTGCATACAAGAGAGAGAGAGAGAGAGAGAGAGAGAGAGAGAGAGAGAGAGAGAGAGAGAGAGAGAGAGAGAGAGAGAGAGAGAGAGAGAGAGAGAGAGAGAGAGAGAGAGAGAGAGAGAGAGAGAGAGAGAGAGAGAAGTTCCTTCAGCTGAAATCTATCTAACTGGTCTGAAGATCTCTAACTTTCTTACACTTTACTGCGTGCTCCCCCCACCCGCCCCCCTGCAATTCATTAACCGACACAACAAGGAAATAAACACAACCTTTGCTGTATTTACTCAGCACACACTGAGCGTGTTTACTAAAAAATAATCTTTCCGTGTCACAGAAAATACTTATAAATAAAACTTTTCACGGATGCACACGTTTATAAAACGACTTTTTTGCACACATTTAAAAATAAACAATAAAAAAATTCAATTTTTTTTTTCGTCTGGGTCAAAGGTGCCTGCTAGGGTCTGAGCGGCCAGGCAGCAGAATTCCCCTGAACTTGTTAAGCGGCATTACGCCACGTTTCCATGCACAACGTTTTCCGTAAACAGTTATCAACAGTAAAGTCAAGGAAGAGTTTTTAGTAAATAACCAGCCTCGGAGGAAACAACTTAATTTATTCTCTCTGCTCAGATCTCACTTGATTTCCTTGGGTGTGTTCCAACTAGTTTGAGGTGTGTTTCTGAGTAAACGTTATAAATTATTATGACTATCTTAACCTGTTTCAAATGGCTTCCTGGACAGCCCTAGTTCAAGGAAATAGCTCTTTCCAGGAAAGAGCCTTTCTGTCTTTATCTGCAGCCATGGATCTAGACGCAGAGAGCAAAGAGGGGAAGAGCAGAATGTGGTTCCTCTTTGAAAGACAGAAAAAATGTCTTAAAGACAAACCTTCAGAGCAAGGACAATGGCTTATTCTTCTGGTGTGTGAGAGGCTCCACTAGCAGACTGTGCCATGTCCTGTGTCCTCATCGGTTGTCATTGGGTAGAAAAGTTGTTTCTCCAAAGTGAGGCTGTTTAAAGCGCTATCTTCTACAGATATATTAATTGTCATTTTAATTTTATTATTTTTATTTATTCTTTTTCACAAAATTGCTTTATTTTTACATCAAAAACATAATTAAATGGTAGAAAAATATTTTAAGTGAGCTAATGAACATGTAACATTTTTCTGTTGATATCAGGGATGTCCAACACTATTGGTCGTTACTGGCATTAAAATGTAAAAATTGGGGATGTTAACTCTTAATGACATAACCTTTACATATAATGACTTTTTAAACATTAAACTCCAAAATATGACAGATCTAAGGTATAGTCTTTGGAATACTTGTGTTTGTTTAGCAAAAATGGCCTGACTTAAATTGAAGTTGTTATGTTTTATATGCAATTATGCATTATAGGAGATTTGTGATGGTAGTTTCCTAAAATTATTTAGTTTTTCCTTTTTTTATGAGAATGGGACCAGGCATATATTGGTATTAGTTTATATGGGTATCAGAAATTAAGAGTTAGATAATATCGGTATATTGAATAATCGGATATATCAGATAATGATGAAAAAAGTTGATATCAAATATCCCTATATTGATGTAGTTTTTAAAGTAATTTTTACAATATTTAAATAAGGCAAAAGCTACTGATGATAATATTAATCATGAGGGTTGCACTGATGTGAATCTGTGGTCGATATTGGTATCCGATATTAATATAGCTGTTATATCCAATAACTAATGTTTAACAGTATTACATTTGTAGGGTTCGGTAAATTGAGTGCTTTAAGAGCTCAATATATATTACCTCTACTTATGACCAATACGCTGTCATACTCTATTCACCCTGCCTGGTCTTTATTGTGCTTTAATCAGAAGATTCCAGGATTCTTTATTATTTAGGGGATTGTACACACTTGGTTTTCATTCAGAAAACAGTCAGGTTTACAAAAGTAAGAATTTATTTTACAACAATTTAAACATGACAAATTAACTAAGCATTTACTGTGATGGACGGAACTAGATGTGACGCATGAAAGCTATATGTGAATGCGATGTTAGTCAGAACTTCCGTATCTTGGAGAGCTGAGTTCTGGATGTAAAATAATTTGGTTTGCGTTAAGCTATGAAGGTGATTATTATCAAAACCCACATCAGACGTAATCTGTCATGTCTACTTCAGCCGTTCTCGGAGACCCTCTTGGTAGATCCGGAATGTCGAAGTCCTCGGACTTCCAGGCACCGAGGTCCGTAGAAGAAACTGCAGCCCCACTAAACCGGTCTTAGAGTTGTCTCCAGGTCATAACAGACGGATGGAACCACGCGTCTGGCGGAGAGTCTAAGCAATCTCAGCTTGTTCTGCAGGAACCGTTTGCTTTATCAGCTTTGCAGGTGCAAAAAGATTTTGACGACGTGCCAAAAGCTTTGGTGGTTAAAGAGGTGTTACTCCAGGTGACCGGCCTGAAGCTTTCTCTAGAACTGCTGAATCACCCAAAGTGATCCAGTTTTAAGAATCTCATGTTATGACTATGTAGCCAACCAGAGGTTGACAAGTTTGAGGGATATTACCAAGAATCTCAGAGAAGCCTTCTTCGATACTGGAGGCTCTGATCTGGGGTAAAGGTTATTTATGTGTCATAGGATTTAACTTTACCTTACTTTGTCCTTGTGTGAGTGCAATATGGTTATGACCTGGTCAAGTAAACATGCTGAAACATATATCATTGAGCACAGATTAATGAAACATTTCATTATTTTATAATTATTATGAGCAGCAATAAACAAATGTTCATTTAATGATTATTTAACTTTATTAGTTATGGAAGTTCATCTTTAATTTTAAAATCTTCTTTTCTTCTGTTTTCTGTGAGCAAAGAGACTTAGATAAGAAGGTTCTCTGTGAGGGGCCTTGAGCAGTGAATGTTGTTTTCGTTATCTCTGTCAGAGCTGCAGGCTCTGAGCTCCAGCTGGTGGGAAGAGGCAGGCTGATTTAAAGGTTAACACATACAGTCTCATGTCTCTTTTATGACCAAATGTTGAATGGTCAAACAGTACCTAAAAACTGACCATTGCTGGACGTTACACATTAAAGCTGCATTCCAGAGTTTTCCCCTTTCAGAAAACGACGTATGATTTTTCAGAAATCCATAAAAGTTATTTTCTCATCATGTACCGTGATAAAATGTAAGCAATACATCTTTTTTTTTTTTTTTTTGCTAAGCACGCCCCCTGCCCCGTAGAGCTCCATTCAATGGGGAACTGAGCACCGACCACAACTAGCCAATAACGTCAGACTACCGCTTATTTCGACTTGGTGTCAGGTTTCTTGCTTTTGGCCTGAGTGGTTACCTGGTTTACCGGAAAATTAATGAGCTGTCGAGGAATATTGGCTCAATCCCGGAGCTCAGGAATGGATTACACCCCGCTGTGAACGCACAAACTCATATAATTGTCGAGATGAGTCGTAAGCTTGGAACTTTGGCTGAGATTCAGACTCTGGCACAGAAGGTGGATTCGATCAAGGAGAAAGTTGACATATCAGCACGGATTGGGTTAGATTAATTTAGCCATTATTGGATTTAGAGGGGTTGAGGACCAACAGAACAAGTTCTTATCTGGTGCCCTTGAGCCTGTAAGGCTGAAGTGAAGACTCCCCCTCAGAAGAAATGTGGAATGCTGCCGTCAACATGGCAACTCTGTCTCCCTATCCCAGCCTGGGCGGGACTGCGACTGGTGAAGGCCGTTGAATCGTTTCCAGGAGTCGCTGTGCTTTCTAAACCCAACTACCTTGCTCCCCTGCCCAAACAGAGGTGATGAGCGCTGCTTATCGCGGCTGCATGCACTGATGTGTGGAGATGTTGTGTAATGTCTGAAGTCTGTTGCATTTCTGTCTGAGGTGTTTTTTGCATAGCAAAGCTGCCCTCCCTGTGGAGGGTAACTCTGAAGTGCCTTTTTTTTCCTCCACCTGACTCAATCCTCATATGTAAACCCTCTGATCTCTATTAAGGTCGTGCGACTCGGGTTGCGGATGACCACAGTCAACAATTCTTGTCATGTGTCTATGCCTATGTATGAATGTCTGATCTCAGAATTGTGTGTACTGAAACTCTAATTTCCCTCTGGGATTAATAAAGTATCTTTGAATTGAACTGAATTGAATTGAATTTGCTTCATATTTAAGGAAGTACCTCGGTTGATGCAGAGTTGATTAACTTTTCACAGACAAGTAAGTCTCTAAAATATAAATATATGAAAACACAACGTGACATGAGAATATTACTCGTAAAACAGCGTTTTTTTTAGCTCCGTTTGTCGGCTAGGAAGCACATTTATAAACAGAAACGTGAGGTCCCCATCTTAAACAAACAGAGGAATAGACTTTTTGTGTGATATGCTTGTCAGCCTATAGATGGTGCCATCAGATAAGAGAAATACTCCGGAAAGAAGCTTTAATAACATAAAACTGAGGATTTACATTCAAACATTTACTTTATTTCATTTGACTTACTGCTAGCTGGCAGCAGATTTTACCACCTTCCTTCTGATGGAACAATAAGACTTCATGATATGGATGGATGGATGGATGGATGGATGGATGGATGGATGGATGGATGGATGGATGGATGGATGGATGGATGGATGGATGGATGGATGGATGGATGGATGGATGGATGGATGGATGGATGGATGGATGGATGGATGGATAGATAGATAGATAGATAGATAGATAGATAGATAGATAGATAGTACCTACTTGGGCTGGGCAATAAATGAAAAATGTATTATCTAAATTTCTGACTCTTATCAATATTTTTTCCCATGCGAACAAATTTCATAATTAAAAAAATGAAAATATGTGTGTAGGTTGGCGACGTTCAAGTCTCTTTGAGAAGCTGTACCACCTCAAGTCACCTCAATATAATGAAATCTTGGTCAATCCTTTCCACCTTT